GGGGGGGCAGAGGGACCCCGGGGTCGGGAGGTGCTCGGGGCGGAGCGGGGCCGGGGCAGAGGCTGCCGGGGGGGCGGCGGGGGCTCGGGGCGGGGCGGCAGCGCCGCTGGCTCGCTCGGCGCTTTTGTCTGCCCGAGGAAGAGGATGCGGAGCGCGGCGACGCGGAAAGGCGGAGACCACCCCCCCCCTCACACCGCTGCAGGTGCACGGCCGGGCACCAAAACCACCCGTGGATGTGGGTTTTTGGAAGGGGAAGGACCTCCCGTGCTCGGTGCGGGATGGGGGGGGGACGCGCGGTGATGGGGAAGGGGGGGAGGGAGGGCGGGGCTTGGGATGGAGGAAACACAAGGATGCCGAGGGATGCAGGTGGTTTGGGGGATGGGAACGGGGCTGCGAGGATGCTGGGGGATGGGAGGGATGCTGGGGGCGCGGGGAGGGGCGGGGAGGAGTGGGGAGGACACCGGGAGGGCTGGGGGCGCAGGGGCGCATCGGGAAGGGCTGGGAGGACATGGGGAAGGGCAGGGGGTGCAGAGGGGCACCGGGAGGGTGCAGGGGGGCACGGAGAGGATGCAGGGGGGACAAGAGCGGTTGGGGTGGCCGGGGGATGGCGGAGGGTCCCGGGGATGGCGGGGAGGGCCGCGGGAGGATGCGCGGGGCCGGGTGATGCCCGGCGGGGGGGGTCAGCCGGGTCCCCAGGGCCCCCCAGCCCCGCTCACCTGTCGGGCTCCTGCCCGCGCTCGGACATCGCGGTGCCGATCCCGCCGCTAATCCCGCCGCGGGACCGCCTGGGAAGCGCCGCCTCCTCGGGAGGAGGGGCGGGAGCGCAGAGGACGCGCCCCGGACACGCCCCCGGAGCGCGTTCCCGGCCCCCCGAACCTGTTTTTGGGTGCGTTGGTGCGCTCAGGTGCTCCGGAGATACTACAGAGATACATGGGCTTGTATGTACCCACTCCCTCAGTATGGGTGCAGATATGTATGGTGTGACTTCATAAATATATATATTTATATATATATACACGTCATATTATATTAGATATATATACACGTCATATTGTGCACATATTATATATTAGGAGTATTGTATATACCTAATAGATCATCATAGAATAATAGAATTGGGTTGGGTAAGGACCTTAAAGCCCGTCCAGTCCCGCCCCCTGCCATGGGCAGGGACACCTCCCACTATTCCAGGTTGCTCCAAGCCCCGTCCAACCTGGCCTTGGACACTCCCAGGGATCCAGGGGCAGCCACAGCTTGTCTGGGGAACCTGTGCCAGGGCCTCCCCACCCTCCCAGCCAAGAACTCCTTGCCAATCTCCCATCTAACCCTGCCCTCTGGCAGCTGGGATACACAGCAGGTTGTGCCCCAGCTCAGGCACATGGGCTGGCACTGCCACCAGTTTCCTGGCTGATGCCACACGGGAACCCAGGCACAGAACACCGGTGAGGAAAGAGCCGCCTGTGCCACTCCCATTGCCCTTTGCTGACCCTGAGGGCAGGCAGGGCACTGCCACCCTGATGTCACCACATCCTCTGCCTGAGGGAAACACTGTGGGCAGCTCCACACGCCGCCAGGGAGTTCAGGGAGGGAAAATGCCACATGCTGCCCTCGCAGTTGGCACGTCAGGATCTGCCCTGAGACGTTGGCAGAGCTTCTTAGGAAAAGAAAAAAAAAAAAAAAAAGAGAAGTGAAAATAAGATAAAGATAAAAACCAGCCCAAACTTGCAGCAGCACATTGGCATTCTTTTTTTTTTTTTTTCAAACAAAAAGAATGAAAGCTTCTCAGGTATTTTGGTAGTAAAGTGCTCCTGAAGCATCTCAGGTGCCCCCAGAAGTGCAGTAAACCCCGGAGAGCCAGCAGTGGATGAGAGGATGGCATCCAAGTCACCTCTGCAGGGCAGTCCAACAGTCCTGGAGAACCTGCAAAACCCGGGTGATGGGGAATTCCAGGCCTCCAGGAGAGCTCCATGCAAGGAAACCCCCACACCTCCTTGCAGACTCTCAGGCACCACCCCTGCCCCACTTCTCCCACCTGGAAACATCCAAAGTCACCTCTGTTTGTGCCCAGACAAGAAAGAGGGGGGATCAGATGTTTGTTTTAAGGTTATTCCTCTTATTCCAAAGGCTCATCCAGCCCCAGTCCACATCTCAGCATCACCCTCCTCTCCCTGTGCCAACCCCAAAGCAGCTCTGGTGTGTCTGGGGTGCCCCTTTCTGTGTCTGTGCAGCAGAAACAACGATAAGCTCTACAAACAAATGTAAGTACTTGAGTCAACACAGGCTCCAAATGCTGCTCCAGGCGCTTTTGAAGTGCTCAGCTCCCACTCCCAGGTATAAATATGCTGGATTGGGAGCCTCCTGATGCTGCCATTTCACCCCCAGGCATCCAACCACAGCCCTCTGCCATTCCCACGCCACCAAACAGTTCTGGAAAATCCATATCCCCAGGAAAACATAAGCACGGAGCTCATGGGAACGAGCTGTCGTGTTTGGGCTGCAAAGGACGGGTGTAAAACTGATCAAAACCCGACCACAGAAACCAACATTTCGTGGGAGACGCCGAGAAAGTGAATTAAAGGGTCGGTTTGGGCGGAGACAAAAATGCCAGTGAAGGAAATCCCCTTGTTAGCACCGCCAAGGCACCAGAAATAGGAGAAGGAAAAAGTTCATGAAAGAAGGACATGAGTCTGAAAGTGCAAATAATTCTTCACAATGAAGAGTAAACAAGGAAAAAAAAGGCAGGACAGAAGGGAAATGAGGAAGGGAAGGCGGGTGTGTCTTGTCTCTCCCAGCCCCATCCCTTGGAGCTTGGCTGTGCTGAGCCATCGTTTTCCTGCTTTTCCAGACATCCTCCCGCTGAAATGAAACGCAATAAACATCCTGCTGCTGTGACAACACACAGAACGTTCATTAATTACGCACAATCACCCCTTAATTACCCCCGGCAGGCCCAGCCCAGGCACGTGGTTTGTGGGGTCGCAGCAGCTCCGTCCAAAACGCTCCGATGAAATGTTTCTCTCTGAGGGTCTGATTCACCACCAGGAGAAGATTTACATCAACAACCCTTTCCCAGTTTAAACTGGAGTCACGCGGTGGTGAAGAGGGGCTGGAGCTCAGTTTCCCGAACCACGGATCCTCTTTCTTTCGAGGACAGGGGCAGAACGGGGAGCGATTTAAGGAATAGCTCGAAGGGATCTTTCCAAGCCCTCGCAGGGCAGCGCCGGGCGTTTCCCTGCAACTCCTCTCCCAGGAGAGGCACGGGAGTTCCCATCTCCTGGGAAACACCGGCCAAGCCTCCTTGGAGGGGTCGGGACGCTCAAGCTGAGA